CCAAATAGAGCTAATGGAATCGGATATTACCTTAGGTAGTTTTTCAAAATTGACCATCTCTTGCGCTTTTATTTCGTTATTACTATAGTATTTTAACTAATAAATTTGCGTTATTTTGATGTGTTTTAACAAGGATGTTTGTTTGAAGAAGGTATCGAAAACCTTTCAAACAAGCGGGGGAGGAAGCCCTGCGGTTCCGTTTAGTATTGATGTTGGTAAAACTGCAGGACAGGTTAAACAGGTGACAGGGTGTCAGGTTTCATCAAGAGGATTACGTGAAGCGGAGGGGTTTAACAACATACGATCTGGATCCAAAAATACTTCGATAAACTGTAAGCTTTCGTCTGCCCAACAACGAGGTAGGTGAATTATCTTTCCCGATGAACAACTGAAATATACAAAAGAAGGTTTTGTTGTATAGTTGACGTTCAAACAAAGAAAGTGATAAACAGCGAGCCACCAGGACAGGTGTGGCACCTGTTTGACTGCAGCCCAGACCTCAGGAAACATTTCATGCAGAAGTGGCCTGATACACAAAGGTTTTAATATTTAATATATTAATATTAAGACACTGGTCTTAATATTTAGATACTGCTTGTTTGTTTTGTTTTTTTTGATCATGGTATTATTATTTTTTGTGGTCCCTTAGTAACCCCAGCCCCCCCAACCATACATAAATGTTGTTTTCAATAACTTCTATAGGCAGAGGCTTATGCTGAACTGAATCAAAGATCAGTCAATCAATGAATAAACAAATAAGATAGTTTAAATGTTTTTTGTGACCCATTTTCAGGTACCAATAAATTTCATCTTTTTATTCTGTTATACTTCAGATGAGTTTTACTTTTAAAACTTTTTTTTTTTTTTACCTTTTTCAGTTTTTTTTTATTGTGTTTTTTAACAGCTTGACCCCCTATTGCTTTTATTATTACTGTTCTACACCTATAAATCCATCCATCATTCCATTTTCCGCCATGCTTATCCCAGGCGGGGTGGAGAGGGGTGTTGGTGCCCATCTCCAGTTGTCTATGGGCGAGAGGCGGGGTGCACCCTGGACAGGGTCCATCGCAGGGCAACACAGAGACAAACAACCATTCACGCACAAACTCACACCTAACAAAGAATTTAGCGAAGCCAGTTAACCAGTCATGTTTTTAGACTGTAGTAGGAAACCTACCTAGACTGTGGTAGGAAACCGGGGTACCCGGAGAGAACCCAGGCATGCTCGGGGAGAACATGCAAACTCTATGCGGAAAGACCCCGGGCCGAGAATTGAACCTGAGTCCTTCTTTTTGCAAGGCAGCAGTGCTACTCACTGCGAGCAGCCCCACCTATAAATCCACACATCTTATTCTGTGTAATTTTTACAACCAATTATTGTAGTAGTGTCCATTCATCTATAAAATGTTCATGTACAATGACACCATTTAATTAGCGTTTCTATTTAGGTTATGTTTAACAACCCCAAGCGTTTTTTTTTTTTGGTGTCATTTCTTGGCGTAGTACCCTCAGATGTTTCACTGATTAACAAAACAATTTTGTTGCAGCAGCACAATTTCTCACTAAAATAAACGAATGTCAAATTGTTGATACAAGTAAACCAGAACATCAACAAAAATATAGCAGTTTCTTTAGAAAAAGAACATCAGGTGGCTCTGACAAAAGACTGTGCATTATACCCACTGTTAAGTAAAGTGGCAGATCTATAATGCTGTGGGCCTGTATAAAAACCTTTTGAAAAACAAGGAGATTCGACCAAAAGTCTGTTAGATTAAGCAATCATGAAGCATAAGGTGAGCAGTGAAGAGCCAGATTAAGCAGTTGCAGTGCTTTTAACAGTGCAGTGGATTTTAAATCCCAAAAGTGCATTTCTTCCTTACTGGATAAATGTAATCAGAAACTGGATTTTTCTCAGTTTTTGGGGCATCAGATTTAGCTGGTGCGGTAAAGGCCTAATGCATATAGAGTTTTATATTACACATCTTTAACAGGGTTACAAGTTTTTGACAAGTGTGGGTTTTCAGGATAAGACCAGGTGTTTTTTTTTCTAATAATCTTAGTGATGTGGCAATGAGTGTGAGCAACTAACTTGACACATAATCCTGTTTCCTTCTTCTCAATCAGTTTGACCATGGTACAGAAGTATGACGGGTTGTCCCACTGTAAGCTGGCTCTGGTGTTTGCCGTGGTGATGGATGTGCTGGGTGTGACGTTCCTGCTCCTGGGCGTTTTCGCTTCACTAGAGATCAAAGGCAAAGACTTTGGGGACCTGCTGGTGTACTCCGGAGCTCTGCTGGTGCTGTTTTCCATGGCTGGCTGGGTGCTTTGGTATAGCGGCAACATCGAAGGTCTGCATTTACAAAAAAACCTGGATGGCAATATGGGATCTGCTGTGGACAGACTGGCCCGCACTCTCAGCCGAAGGATACGGCTCCCAAGGACGCGCAGCAGTCCATCTTAAGTCTGTTTATTTTATTTTTTTTACCAATTACTTGGAAGAAAGGTTCATGCTTTATGGCTTTACCTTCATGTCATTTTTGAATTAAAAAAAAAGTTTTTGCAATTAATGTTTTTATAAACGTAATCTGTTTCTTCTGCTCAAGTATGTGTAAATGATCTACTTCCTAAATACTCTTTGGATATTAAAATTATCGCACTGAGAATACTTTCTGGAGAAAATTACCACACTGAATCAAGTTTATTATTATTTTTAGCTTCTCTATGAAATTAATTTAGTAATATTATATAGGTGCATGGTGCATCTCAAGGCATCAGATCAACAAAAATTTATTTTAGTAAATCAAGTAAAAAGCAAAGCTATCAAATATTTCTGTTAATTTCCATGACCATGGCTTACAGCAGATGAAAACCCCAAATTCTGCCTTTGGGAAAATCAAAATGTTAATTAAGACCATCATAAAATTGCTTACTATAAGTACACGCTGTCAATATACTATGAATCTCATGCACTAAATATCTAGTTGGTGCTCCTGGTAAACATTACTGGATCAGTTCATGGTGGCATGAGGCCAAGGTTGCCTTAATGTTGGCCTTTGAGTCCCCTCCAGGGTGGGGTTAGGCGTTTCTCATTTTCCTTTTGACAATACTCCATAGATTGTCTTTGGAGCTCAGTAAACACCAGCAGATTCATTGCTTTCTGTATCTTCATGACTCTAGAAACTTTAATCAGAATTCAAACTGGAATCTGTTCATCTCTACTCTTCCCCCAGACTCTGGGCCCTTGATTTAAAAAAGTAAATATTCAAATGATCTTTCACCTGAAAAGCAGACTAGACAACTGAGTCAAGTGTTTTTCTTTCCCCTCCTAAGACTATTAAAAGAGTTCTGGGTCACGACCCTCTCAAGCCTTTGGGTTATCTAATGCTTGTGTGTCTGCTGAACAAGTCTATATAAGTTTGGAGATTATATATATATATATATATATATATATATATATATATATATATATATATATATATATATATATATATATATATGGGCACAGGTAATATGGCAATTTTCTGAGTTTTAATCCATTGATGCATTTTACCTTAATTGAATCAAGTTTATCATTAAATTCAAATCAGTTTATTCATACAGCAGTAATTACCAACACACAATCTTTAAAGAGTCAATTCAATCAAATAATCCAGAAAGATTGGTTAAAAGTTCTCCATCTAAGGAAATCCACATGATTACATTAGGTCACTGACTTTGCAGCAATCTCTCACACCGACCTCACACACACACACACGACAGTGGGGAGGAAAAACTCCCCTTTATAACAGGAAGAAACCTCCAGCATAACCAGGCTCAGTGTGAGCGACCTTTTGCCGAGGCTGACTGAGGGTTCAAGAAGACAGAGTCAGACACACAAATGCAACATCAAAGCAGTGATCCATGAAGTTTCCTTGTTAAATAAGGTGATAGTAAACTAGCACCATAGGTGGCCACTATAGAGATAGCTCAGGATAACCTGAGCTACTCTAACTATAGGAGTTATTAAACAGGAAAGTTACAATCTTAGTTTTAAAGTAGATAGAGTGTGTACCACTCGGATTAAAACTGGTAGTTGGTTCCACAGGAGAGGAGCCTGATTACTAAAAAAGGAGAACTTTAAATTCAACTTGGGATTTAACAGAAAGCAAATGAAGGGAAGAAATATTAGAATAAATATTACCTCTTTTTAAAAGTTTGTTAGAACAACGGTTTCAGCATTTTGGATAAACTGAAGGCTTTTACTAATATTGTGTTAAAATCCTTCCTGAAAGAATTACGATTGCCAGTCTTGATGTAACATACATAAAGTAGTTTTGCTGAATCACTGCTGGACAAATGTAATTGTTTTTTGTTTTTTTTTTACAATATTCTCATTTGTGAGGAACGTGTATATGCGTTAGCATGGGAACATAAGATAATCCAAAATGACCAAGACGATTTTTATGATCAAAATCTGTATAAGGTTTATTGAGAACACAAACTTAAGTCTTTCCAAGAAAAGTAAGAGGCCTCTGTGACTGACACACTTGCTCAAACTTGTAATGCCACATGAATACTATACATAAACATTAAAGAGTATCTCTTCCTGATTTAAGAGAAACTTTTAGACATTACACATTTTTATTATTAGGCAAAAATCTAAGATAAATAAATAATTTTTGAGAAGAGATTCAAAAAGACATTTTACAGAGACATTTATTAGGTTTTGTGCAGGTTTGAACCACTGCAGGAAAACCTAAGAGTACTGGGATTAAAGCTAATACTAATTCCATCACATGTAGAATAGACACCGTACTTTAAATCCCCAGTTTGAATGCAGCATCTAAAATAGTATGAATTGATTGTCTTTGTGCTTAAAGAAGTAAACCCGTTTCCAGTATGTTGTTAAAGTTATGAAGACAGCACCTTTAACAGCAACCACATCAAGTTCAGCGTGATCATCAACAGATGGAGGATTTTTCTCTGATGAAGAAAACCAAAGATCTGCAGGATCATTGTTTGTGCAAAAGTCCATCAGATGGATACAACATATTAAGCTGATAACTGACCATAACGAAAAAAAAACATATAGAGGCAAACACAATAATCAAAGCAAAGGAAACAAGCAAGGTATAGGATGTAAAAATATAGAATACGTATCTGAAAACATCCTTTTATTGTTGCCACAGTTGGATTTTTGTTCATTTAGTTCCACTATTGTCCCTTCTGGTACTGTAAATGTCTCTTTCACCTCATCCATCAAACGGCGATTTGTGAGCTGAACAGTCAGAGAGCAGGGCTGGGCACTGAGGGGGTTGGAATCTGCCAGATGATCATGTGACTACGTTCAGACCGCTGTGGTGTCGTCTGAGACACCTCATTCGATTCATCGCTTGCATCATCTCCTGAAATGTTACATTTGTTAAGCAGTGTTTCAGTATTGATTATACCTCTTACTAATGAGTCGGTTGTAAAATTTAACTCACCAATTCGGAAATTAATGTAGCCCTCCCCTCCACTGAGGATGTGCAGAGCAGTAGTTACATGGCTGCTGTCAGGAGAGGTGATCAAACAGCCTGAGGACATAAGCAGAAAAAGGTTTATTGCGTTATCCCAGGAAAAAGGATATTAACAGACTCTATAAGTCATTTCATTTAGGAAGTGTTTAACTTTTAATTGTAAGAAAACTTAAGGGGACTGATGGGAAAATAAATGCATTTCCTGAATTTATTGTTTCAGAAATCCAGATAGCTTTTTTCCAGAGTCAAGTTTATACCATAGGTCACTCCATAAACCCACTGTGGTCAGTAACAGGATTAGTTTAACTTATCCTGAGTGCGTCATTCATTTCAGATGAGACCCGAGATGAGGAAAGTATGAGAGATGCCATGTCTTTAACTGGAGGAGTAACATCTACAGTGAGTTGTAGAGGTTAGAGAGCAAAAGCTCATTATGTTCAATAGGATTAGAAGCATTTTAATTTGAGATTCATTGATGTTTTAACATCACAGTTTTTGCCACGGTCAATAATATATTTCAATGCATTTCAACCAAAGATCCCTCATATTACACGAGGACAGGTTCTTTGTGCTTCAATCCATTTTTATGCTAAAGGTTAACTGTCAGGGATGTAATCATTAAATCAAAACATTACTATTCAGCACTGATGCCCTTCAGATTAATTATGTGTTTATGACGTCAAGGTTTTCTGCTGGTGGAGTGAGGAGTGTCCCTACCTGCTGTGGGGGACATGGTGATCTGAATCCAGACTGGAATAGGAGTGTTCAAAATTAATTTTCCCCCCTCTAATCACTGAACAGCTTAGGTTTTGTTTAATACCATTTTTCATTGGGCCTTAGCAGACAGGAAAGTTCCAAAAACATTTGGAGATAAATTTATTTCCTCACATTAGGGTCAATTCAAGGCTTCTCTTTTCCTCCTGTTGCCATGGTGAATCATATTATCCGCCTTCCATTGATCAGGGCTTCTTGTTATGCCTGTGCTCACCCTGAACTGTGTGCTGAATTAAGTCATAGTTAAGTTACCTTGTTGATGTCACCTGTTCTGAAACCGAAAATCCTGAATATCACAAAAGCAAGGAAGTTGACTCATTATAACTGCTCTCTATTCGGACGAGATTAACCCAACTTTTTTTGCAAAAGATGTCAAGCTGTTAAATAATGAGTTTCACCAAAAGGACGCCTCACTTGACTAATGCAAGACAGGTTCAAATAATCAGTGTTGTGACTCACATGAGAAGACTGTACAGTTAAAGGTATAGTGGAAGGTTTTTGCGAATTTTTGAAAAGGCACTCTGTTTAAGAGTTGCTGTTTGCATCACTCATACAAGCTTACTTTCCAAAAGAAGATTTGCAATTTTTCCACTATGTCAGAATCACCACCAGTAAGTGGAAAAGGGGATGAGCACATGGGACGGCCTTATGTAAACATCACCAGATAATTGGTAGAAAGCTAAGAGGAGTTCAGAAATGTAACTGACAGTAAAAGGCAACTACTGTTGCCATTAATGGAACCAGCAAAATGTAAACCATGAACAATCACAGACAATAAAAGCATACAGGTTCACACATAAATAAAACTTCAGAGAAAACTTACCAGACTAAAAAAATAAGAACCATAAAAAAACAGTTTTTGTGTACCGAGTGTATAGGAAAAGAGATTCTGCAATAATTTTCTAACAGAAACATAATTTAGTGTCTTGATTTGCAGATCAGGGAAGCCACAAAGATGCCTTGAAAGAAAGCATGCTAGGCTGAAGTATTAGCTTCTTATATCTTACCAGGTGCAGGAATGATGAATTGGACAGCTTGTCTGTGTCCATGGTAAGAGAGCTGGGCTGATGCAGTGGAACAGTACGGGATGGAAACTTCCTCTGATGCTGTAGACAGTTTTTTTGTTAACACTTGAGTCCATTTCTAACTGTGTTAAATGTTTTTGATTTCACATACTTATTGACAGGGGGATGGAGAAAATGGCACCGCCCCCGGTGCCCACCCAGAGACGACCAGAGATGATGGAGAGGGAGGAAATCTGGAGTGGTGAGAGTGTCAAGTAGGACTGGCCTAAAACAAACAGATGTGACAAAAAGAAAAGGCAAATTAAAAGTTTTTAAATCACAAATTAAAACTAGAAAACTGCTGACTTATAACGGGAAAACATTTGTAAAGTTTACATAAAGAACTCAAACAAAAAACAGTATGAGTACCTAATGTTTTAGTAACCAAAGATGTAAAGTCAACTTCTTGCAGTGGCCGTCCAGTTGACCAATCAAACAGTCTTATAACTGGGTCAAGTCTGCAGGACGTCCAAACTCCACTCCCCCCAGCACACAGGAAACGCACCTGCTGTTCCATGCACTCTGATACGGAAAAGACTTGCTGTGCAGAAACATGAAAAATAATGATTGTAAATCCAAAATAGCATGTTGGAATATACATGTAGAATACTGTGCAGGATTCCTGAATCATCCCTTGTTTCAAAGACAATTTTCTTCACACTTCTGATCCGTTTATTCATTTTACTCCACTGATAACCTGGTTTGAAATTTAATGATCTTCTTTTTTCAAGCTACTTAACTCTGACCTTTGAATATAATTTAAGCATAAAAATATTCCTAAACCCAGAAAATAAAGTTAGTAAATAGTTAAATAAGGAACCCAAACCTCACTGTATTGTATTATAACTGTTTTGTTTTTTCCTTTTTCCTGGAAACCATATCAAAATTTTAAAAAGGCCTGGCAAGAACCCTGAAGGATAATCTGTGCATGGAGCCTAGGATTAAGGTGATGGCTAGGAGTCTTTCACACCTGAAAGACTTTTAGCTCATTACTAAAGATACAAAGCAAAAAGATGATGCAGAGGTAAGGGATTGATTGTAGTAAAGAACAGTAAAGCATTTTTTTTACCATGTCTACTGTTAAAGATTTCAATATTTTGAGATGATACAGTGCTGGGGTAACAGCATCAGAGAAAAGAATAAAAAGCACCAAAAGCTGATACAGAAGGTTGTCTCTGTTCTAGGAACTCCTCTAGGACCTCTGGATAAGATTTCACAAAGAGTTCTTTGTAAAGTGAAGAAGATTATGGACAGCAGTGAGCATCCTATTCATCAGACTATCAAAAAACATCAGCATCTTTACTCAATAGACATACAAGATCAGATTAATGATTCGGGAAAACAGATTCATTTCCTCACATTTTGACCGTCTTCAGAGAACTTTTTGAAACATCAAAACCAAAAAAACAAAGCTGACTCCCTAAGAACTATTCGCTGAAAACCTGATGCCTCTCTGGTTGCATGTCAGGACTTTTACTGTTGATGTTTTCTACTTCCAATACAGATCTCTTTCAGATACTGTTTATCTGTTGAGGATGGGTTTTATTTACATTCCCAACCCTGGAAAATATTTACCTAGATTATCTTTAAAACCTAAGAAGAAACTCAGTACTCTACAAGAGAAAATTATTGTTTCTTACCTCTACTTTCTTATTTTCAGTGTCTACAATATGGACTTTATTCCAGTATCCAACCCATAGACGAGCACCTTTTGCGAGGCAGCAGCGGATGGGCTGCAGAGGATTTGCTCCAAGAGGCATCACAGAGTGAGGTTGCAGATTCCATCCATCTGTGGATTGAAGGGCAATACATTTCATGATTTCCATCAATAAACTTTAATTCCATAAAATATGCAAAACCAATACACAGATTACCTGCAGTTTGAGAAAAAAATGCCAGACTACCATCAGCTAATCCGGCAATAACCTGATTGTTGGAGAACCTGTGAGGTCAAGTTGACACAGAGTAGACCCCTTTTAAATACAATCTTTAAAGAGATGCTAATGTACAAATAAAGAGCAGCATGTACTCACGTGAGTGAATATACACCCTCTAAGAGAGACACAGTTTGTACACAGCGCCTTCGGTTTGCCGAAGCAAGATATATTTGGATACTACCACACAAAGAAAAGATGGTGAAAAAAAAAAAAAAACTTCTTCAAAAGGCCGTTATAATGTGTTACATGTGGAACAAATCTGCTTTTTTCAGTTGATGATACCTTCCTTCCTGTGTTCCAATCCACACAGTTCCTGCTGTGTCTTCTGAAAAAATAAAACCAGCAAGATTGTGTCAAAGGAAACTGAGCGAACTATGGTGATAAATGGATTCCTAATAAAACTCAAGCAAAACAGCAGCAGCCAAATGATCCAGGACTGACCTATGGGGGGCACGGCACAGATGCAGAGGACGGGGGCAGTGGGAGGGAGGCTGAAATGGTCCAGTACTGTGTTGGACCGTGCTGGGTCAATCACTGTGATTTCACTGCAGGATGCAGGACCCGAAACAACCCAAACAGAACACTGAGCAGAGCAGGGCGGATGCACAGCGTGGAAACATGACTCAGTTTGTGTTTGTGACGTCAGTTATGACAGAGTGAGTATGTATCATTAGACGATGACTGGGGTTGCATTTAACCAGGATGTTGGCAGACTTACTGTGGCTTCTCCAGAGATATCAGGAGTGACTGCAACAGCGCAATTGAGCTGGAGAAGGAAAACAAAATGAAGTCAGAAGGTATTTTTATTCCAAAAGTGTGATGTAAATTTTTGTGGGTTTACCTTAGCGGTGGAGTCTCTTTGGTCCAAGAGTCTGAGTTGGATCAGAACAGGTACATCTTTAGGCTCTGATACAGGCTCACCTGACTCCTGAAATAATCACATTTAATCCTACAGTTAAAGCGCACATCTAACTACCTGGATTTTAAGTGCTAGCATTATGATTAGGCAGTTAGGAAAGCAACAGATGCTCATAAGGCAGTCTGAGGAGTACCCTAGTGTTTGCCAGTGGCAAGCTCCAGCCGTGTATGTGCCGCTTTCCTAGGCTTTCCCAAACGTTGGAGCGGATGTCTCTGTACAGTTCCCTCCTTCGCGCACGTGGTGAAACACCAGCAGGAGCAGTGGATCTGAAGAAAACGCTGCATGGTTTTGATCTCTTGGCAAGTAAAATCTCACATTCTTAAATAAAATGTACATATAGCACAAATACAGAGATGCAGAAGATATCCTTCTTCAGGTTGTGTAAGAGCTACCAGGCTGCATTATCAGCTACTGTAAACTCTTTAATGGAGATGCTGTTAATGAGTGATCAAGCCCCAACTTTGCTTTTTTCATTATTAGTGAGGTATTTCTAAACTGAGCTAAATAAAGCACAAAGATGTGGAAAACTTCTAAAAGGAAAGGGCTAAAAGGGAGAGCAAAACTTTCAGCAGGAAAACAGGAAGGCTAAACAGACTTCAGCAAGTTGGGTTGTTTTTATTCTTTAGAGCTTTGAACCTGTGCCAATGACAGAAGATAATAGATTTGAAAATGTTGTCCATCACTTGTAAAATTGATAAACATGAGCTTAAAACTGCTGAACGCTTCTGTAAGATACTAAATATACTCATGCTTCCAGTAAAAATTCATGACTGTTAGGTTAACTGGTAACTTCAAACTGCTCTTCAGTATATTGATGGTTGTTTTTCCTGTGCATCTTTGGGTTGGACTTGTGACATTTATGGGGTATATGTAATGACAACTGGAGATAGACACCTGATATAAATTTGTCTCTGGAATAATGCAAATAAAATTTAAAAAATGTGCTTACTCAGCCTGGGTTTTGTTAATGGTTGGTAGCAGTGGAGACCCCAGAGGGGAGCGGTTAAGTGACGAGGAAGCTGGTTGGACAAATTTAGAAGTGGGAGGAGGTACCAGTGGCTGCTTGGTGAGGCCAAACAAGCGGTTGAACCTAAATGCAAAGAGAATAAAAGGGTAAATAAAATCCAATAAAGAAACATCAGTATCAGAAACACAACACAACCTGTAACCACATAGTGATTCGAATTAATAGTTTTGTTATACGTTCAGTTTTAGACTTCAAGCTTTAAGAAGCAGTTGTTGGAAAGCCTAAATTTCTAACAGCTCCACATTTTGTGATGATCCTTAACAATATTTTATAAATGCATTTAGTGTGCGCTTCTGTTTTTGTAAAAGGGTGATCCTATATTGACAGAGTGTATTACCCACATTCAGTCTTTGCAGTCTTTCAAAGTGTAAACAAATTACTCAATTGTCTGACTGGTGATGGTGCATGGTTAAGAAAATAAGATCAGCATATCTATTTTTAAAGTAACCTTGCTTGCAAGTAATTTTCACTGTATTTGTGCATTTTTACTGAAGCAGAGAGCGGTCGTACTCAACTTTAGATTTTTTCTTTTGTCTTCTAGAGAAAACGACAAAACTACCTCATTAGCATGGCTTAACAAGTAATTGTTTTCTCCACATAACAAGATAATTATCTCTTTATCACAGGAAAATAGTTACTGATTTCTCGAGATAACGAGATGATTAACCTGTATGAGTTATAAATTAGGCTAGCCAACAGCCCTGGATTCCCAGTCCATCCATGCCTGCTGTAACTGTAGTTTTGCAGTCGCGGTACCTTGTGTGTGCAAATAAGATTTTTTTTAGTTTTCTATTTCTTTTCATTAATTGTCAGGTCATGGAGGATGATTGGATTGCATGGATTACAGCAGAAAGAAATCAGAATGTTTTTCAATTAATTGTGGGAGTTAATGCATCTTATACCTGTTACAGGCGTAACACTGGGGCTGTTCAGAAAACACCAGAAGCTAAGGCGCCGGGGTCATAGGTCTAACCAACAACTTTGGATTATTTACAGAATTACATATAGGCTGCCATGACTTGAAATAAAGCACAAAGATCCTCTCCCGCTGTTGTGGTATTGAAAGAAGTAATCAGTTTTAATACACATCAATCATCTCGTTATCACAAGAAAACGGCTTTCCTTATCTTTAGATAGGGAGAAAATTAATTTGTTTTCTCGAGAAAACCACCGTGAAAAAGTGTCTGAGGAACACGGGCGCTCTCGGCTTCCGTACATTTTACACACAACTGTCCCAGGTTAATAGTGTGTAGAACTAAACTTGACTGCCATCTTATCCATCTTAATAGGTTAAGTTTAAAGGTGTCTTTTGATTGATCCCTTTTAAAAATTAGCCTTGAGGGTGGGACACATATCACATAATAAAAATTAATTTCCTTCAGTTTTCCATACCGCATATTACTTTCATATTTTACCACAATCACAGCTTAGGAAAAGGCTGATTGGGCTATCTGAGGGATATTTGTGTGATTTCATTAAAGCAATGCAGATTGAAAATGTGGGGATCATGTCTGCCAGGTTATTGATATCAAACTCTTGGATGAAGCTGCACTTCAGGTGATAAAATTATGGGTGTATAAAATGTTTCAATAAATACATTAAACTAGTAAAAGCAGATAGATGGATATTACTTTTTCCAAACACTGGATCTTCTCTCCTCTGTAAGCTTCTCCACTTTTGTTGCTCTAAAAAGAGAGAAAAAAAAAGGTTTTCATAGAGGAACAGGATGAAGTCTGCATACAGATATGTAAACTGTTTATTAAAGCTTTGAATTCAGTAAAAAAAAAGAAAATCTAAAAAAATAGACACAGAAAGAAAAATGAAATCACCTGATTGTCTGACTGTGTCTCAGAGCCTCCTGTAGCTCAAACAGACGCTGCTTATACTGGTTCTTCTCCATGACCACACGGGCCATTTCGGAGCGAGAGAAGGGACGCATGGATGTGGGCACACTAGCCTGCAATGGAAAACAATTAAAGATTTTATTTAAAAAAAAAAAAAAAGGGTCATAATTTACAATGCATATTTACTGAATACAAGATATTTCTTTACATCAGCATCCTCAGGCTGGCACCTGTCCAGCTCTGTCCTGAGTCTATAAGAGACAGTGATCAAAGAGGATAGAGTATGTTTCAGTAAAACAAGCTGAAGGTCAAACATGTTCTAAAATAAGTGAAACATCTATAGCGCATTCTGCACCTCCTGATTTCCTCCTCCTTCTCCTTCAGCCGTCCCTCCACATGTGCCACCGTTTCCTGAAGTGTCGCCACTTCCAGGTTGAGGGCAGAGCGATCGTCAGTCAGCTCGACCACCCGGGATATCAGAGCCTTACGAGCAGCTTCAACTGACTCACTAAAGACAGACAATTCAGATTAGACTTTTATGGGATTATTTGGAAACTGGCACAGAAAATGCTTGAGGCTGTGAAAGTAAGCAAGCTCTTAAGTCTTCAAACACGACACAAAACTTGGCTTCTAAATCAGCAGAACAGAAAATAAATTTGTCAGATTAGCTCTTTTTCACTCTATGGCATCTTTGCTGTATCAATTTGGACCAAAGTATTAAGTTTTGGCGCTATTTAACATTTTTCCTAGCAATATTTGTCAGCTCAACAAATGACCATTAACGATATATTCGTGTAGGTTAATATTGTTAACAAGCTGTGAACACTGCTAAAACCCAATAAGGCAAACATGTCTGTTTTCTTGTCAGAAATTTATGTTCCATCCAGTGGAAATAGTTTCCTCTTATCCAGTTCTTCTGACTATGTTATGAGACATTAAAGTTTTTTGATTGTTATTCATTTGTTTATCTGAATGGGCAATATCAAAGAGACTGAAAACTGGGAAGAAATCGATTTGGCAATATATTGTGATTTCCGACTGCCTGATATAATGTCAATCTTTCAGGTTCGAATATCGATTTAAAAAAAGAAACAAAATGATCTAAACCTGTGAGGGAAAATGGGCTACCTCTGTACTGCCACTCTGGTAGATGGCGCTGTGGAGCGCCTTTGGTGTGTGCCGTATTTTTGTAGTTAAGGCAGCCATGGTAGAAGACATAGACTGACTCAAAATCCAAACATGGATTTTGAAGAACATATACAGCTTGCTTTTTTAGCTATATATTTAATTTTGATAGCTGGGTAAAATATCACAATATATATATATATATATACAGTAGCAGCCATTAAAAATTCCCTGAATTTCCTTTTTAAACATCCACTTTTGTACTAAAATAATCTTTCTGTCATGATTTATGGACATTAAGATCTAAAGAGAAGCCTCAACTCCTGGTCAGACCCTATAATTTAGTGAAAGGATGGAGTCGCAGGGGAGTAGGCTGCCAGTCGGCTGGTGTTTGACTGGTTTTACTGTAGTGATAATGCAATATGTTGATTAATACTGTATCATGACGCATGTATCGTATTACAACATACATGCCAATACTTAAAAAAACTGAGATTTTTTTTATTTTTTTTTATGAAAAGCACACAGCTTTACTGGAGGAGAATTTATCCTCTTTTATTTTTTGTTGTTATAATCAAATATGTTGCAGATGGAGCTGACTGTAAACACACTTCAAAAAAAGAAACTGCCCCTCTCTGATTCTGGATCGGCTGTATAAAATTTTTTTTTTTCGTGGGCTAGGTCTTAACACGTAGGTCAAAAAAATAAATAAAATCATTGAAGGGCCGAGTCCATCGTCAATGGTCAATAGATTTGTCTAACTGCCTAACCTTACAAAGCATCCTACATGAAATAGAAATTATTTTTAGAGCACATAACTTTTGACACCTCTGTTCCGAAGAGCACAAGTCATTCAGAAAAAAGGGTAGATTCCTGTGTGGTGAATTTGATTTTAAAGATGTACCATTGACCAAGTACAAGACGTAAAAAGCAGTTAAATTGTGTTTCTTTTAAGCTTCTGTATCATATTTTATCTAAAAGTATCCCATATCATACAGGTGAGGCTCAGGAGTCACATCTGCATCCGAAGGCCCCCTAAAGTGGCCATTTGTAAAAAAAAAAATAATAAAGAACTGAGCATTGTTTTTAAAGACCAATGTAAATAGGAAGAATAATTCTATTAACTAATTCCACTTGCAAAGAGGTGAACACACATGCTGCTGACCGGTCAGCTGAGAGCAACTAATGAAGGCCGATTGGAGTGTCCCGGTTTAGAAGGATTCCCAATTGGCTGGTCTGTCAAGCCGAACCAGCCCAAGGGCAGACATGGCTGCAGGCGGATCAGCACGTCTTACTGGGTCAGGCTGTTAGTTTGCATATTGAAGGGAGATATTAAGGTTGCCTCCAAATACAGAAAAAATAATGAAGAAAATAGGAGTGGGTGTAATTAAGAAAGAGTCAAAGAAGGAAAAGGACATGGGAGCAGCAAAGAAGATTAAAAAAACACTTTGCATGAGCACCTCTTGACAGTAACAAGAATATAAAAACCCTTTGAGAAATCTGAAAGATAATACAAATATTTTCTTTTTTTTCTCAAGATACCAAGCCATTTGCAGGATTTCTTTTTCTGCTCTGAAAACGTTGCCATAAATGCACCAATAGATGGATTTGTTGATGTGAAAATGTTGGTTGAATGGCAAAGCTAGCAGTTCTCCTTTTGCTCTGTAACAAGTGTTTATAGAGAAGCAATTAACCCATGTGAGATAAAATCTGAAAATACTTCAAAAAAAAAAAAAAAAAATCATACCAAAGCAACTGTGAACACAATGTATGTAAATGTGGAACTCACTAGAGGACTTTCAATTCCTCAAACTGGAAAAGAATCTCCTCAAACTGATCGCCACTGCCTAAAGAGACAAAGGAAACAACACATTTTGAAGCAAAACTCTGATAACAGCAAGCTGTGGAATGCCTCTAATCTGTGTGTCAAGTTTAGTATACATAAGTAAACGTTTATTAAGATTTAGAGCTCTGGCCACTGTAACAAAGTCAATTATTTTTTAAACAAGTCAGGTGATTTGACATCACATCAGGAAGTCAAACAGTCGGCTCTGTGTGGAGGATAGGTAGTTATCATGTAGAGTCTACGTGTTTTTGAGTTGGGTAGAATTTTACAATTGTTTATTGATCATAAACATAACCAAACTATTGCGTTTGTGGAGGACGAACAAACTCGGCTGAAATGTATAAAACTTGTCCCCTCAGAGGGACTGAGATACCACTGCTGTTCCACGGTTGCAAATCTTACTAGCGCAGACAGCTCAATAAACAGGAGATCCCACACACACCTGCTAGTGGACGGCTGATTGGGATAGATATGAATGAGGGAGAAACTTTAAATAAATGAAAGAAAACCAGATATTTTCTGTGTGGCGGCAGTGTGGACAAAAAGCAGCGGACATTGCATACTGGCAGCTAGTGTTTCCTACTACTTGTTACCTGAGATTTTGCGCTTTGGTCTTTTTCCTACTTCTAAAAACAGATCACTATAGAAAAATTTCTCAGTAGTATGTTTGTGGTCAAGAAAAATAGCAGGATATTGCTGGACTAAACTACCGTTGAGAAATGCCTCCATTAACTCCAGGCTGCTCTTCTTTGGCCATTAATTCTCCACCCGCTCTCTCTGCTCTCTTAGGCTACGTTCACACTGCAGGCCTTGATGCTCAATTTTGATATTTTTGTGAAATCCAATGTTTTTTGCGTTGCCTTTCATATTTCCAAATATATGCGACTTGTATATAATCTCCTTTGTGAACTGCAGTTTTAGAATGCAACTGTCCCGCATGCGCAGTAGAGGATGCAATGACGTCACAGGCCAGCATGCTCTGTGTTTATGGAAGTAAACATGGATGGTAGTACCGGCGCGCATCTAGCTGTCTTTTCCAACCATAAAAACTCTATCTTTTCACATGGTTAAACATAAATACTGCTCTCCACATCATCATCTCCTACGGTTGTTTTTCTTGCCGCTTCTGCATAGCAAGTTGCAGAATAGTGGCCTTTGTCGGGTATTAATTGCGTTCAGGTCAGATGAATCTGACCTGGCCGTTCAGACACAGGTTGGATTTGAAAAGATCAGATTCGTATCGGATTCAGGACCACATAGCCAAGTGGCCTGGGTCGGATTGGAAAGATCAGATCCAACTCGCATATGGGAAAAAAAAAAAAAAAATGGATTTTGGGTCACTTCAGGATGCAGTGTGAACATAGCCTTAGACGTCCAACAGGCTCATAGTTACAGGGTTCTGTCCCATCATATGTCAAGTTGTACACATTTAAACTCTTATTGTCTGAACTAGCATTACTATCCATTGCTTACTGCTGTAAAGCTAAGTGGCCTCCCTAAATTTACGTCACTTCTGGTGCCCGTTTTAAATAAAAGAAAGCCTGAATAGTTCATATTTAAGTATATTTTGTTTTCTTATATATTTTTCTAGAATGATAAAAGTGATGTTCTAACCTGCAATCTGCTCTTTAAGGTAACTGAGGTAACAGTGTCAGCTTTAATGCCTACATCCAACTGTAATCCACCCCCCCAAAAATGCAACTTTTTATGTTAGCATTATTTGTTTCACATCTCAAATGCACAGTAACATATAGTGAAGCTTTTAAAAATGAAAAAAAAAAAACATGTTTACCTCTAATGCTGGCGCCTTGGTCAACGCTCTCTAAATAATCTCGACTCAGTTCTGACAGTTCGGAGAACACAGAGTCTGTGTTGCGGAGGTCCCACTCCACGCTGTCCTCCTCATCCATCTCGTCCCCTTTTTCCTCCTCCTCCTGGTTCTTTTCCTCCTTTTCTTCTCTCTTTATCTCTACCACCTGAAGCTCATCCAGGTTCCCCATCTCATCCACCAGGCTCCTCTCTACTTCATCTTTCAGAGTCTCGTCGGTTTGAGATTTTGCAGGGGTGCTATCCAGGACAGTAAGTCAAGGAGAGAGAAATGTTTTTTGACTAATAATCACATGCCTCTGAGGCTCTCTGCTCAAATCCCATAGGCTCATTAACCAACTCATTGTTTAGGGTTACCTTGCTTTTACACAGCCGTGAAACTGTGTCAGCTCAGGTGTTGAGCTTATTATGTCGATGACAAACTGATCCGTAGCAGGTTTTACAGTAAAATCAATTACTTTTTCTTCCTTAGTCACTAAAGCTTCAAGAACAGGTGGGCCAGAGTTTGAATGTGGTCTCTGAACAATCTGAGACAAAACAGCAAGAAACAACAGTTAGCTACAACCAGCTCAGAGCGCAAACAATGGATATGAATATACATATAAGACTCTGAAAAAATGTGGCACACCATTATTTCTAACCCCATTTGACTGAATAGCACTAAATAAAATAAAGCATAACCTGTCACTTTCAGAAGTCTTAAAAGCAATAATAGAATTCCCTTTATGTGTAAAATAAATCTTAAGACTGCTCTGTAAAACTTTGGAGCTTTCATAGAGGACACTGGAGAACAGTGTTGGGAAGGGACAGATAAGACAGGACAGACGGAAAGTTACAGAGAAGTTTAAAGCAGGTTGCGTTCTAAGGCAGTGACTGACCATTAGCTATTTTGTGAAGAAGAATAAAAGGTAAAGATTTCAGTCAAAAGATGAG